TTTTGGAGATATTGACAGAGCTATAGACAAAAGTGCTGGTGATCAGGTGAGAAGGAGGTTTCGAATTAGTTGGGGATATTAGCTGATTGAAAGATTAGAGGCTGCCTTATATTATAATCTGTTGCTTGAGGTTCTTCCATATAGCTGATGCTGATTGATGTGTCTCTTGGTTGTTGAAACTTGAAAGTAATCATGAGGATCAATATCGATTCTCTTAGCTCCATTATAGCAAAGCGATTAGGTAGAACCATGGAAACAGTGATTTGGAAGTGTCGGTATCTAACTGAAAGCCATTTTGGGAAATGTAATTTCTGTGGCTTAAGGCTTGATAGGGAACGAAACAAAGGAGTTGATAAGCTGTTTCACAAGTATACTATATCAATATAACCGAGCTGATAAATGCAATTACAGGCGGACATAGTCTTTTTGTTATAGCTGTAGTGTGTATGCACTGTAGTGGGCGATCTACTTTGTGGTGTGCTTTCCTTGGAGTTTGAAAGCGGGCAAGAAGTAGCCAAAATCTTGAATTTGAGGACACAATAGGGAAATAGTTGATTTTCATTTGATCAATGGTTATGTGGTATTAGATGATAATGAAGTTAAATAGATTGTCACATGCTTTGAAAGCATTGTAAATCAATTTCCAACTTTTGACTATCATAATGTCATTCTAAGTGAAAAAAGTGTCCCTTTGATGCTTGCCAATATAGTTTTCAGCTTCACATTTAAAACTATTGGATCTCTGGGTTTGGGATTCAGATACGTTTTGCTTGCATTTATATTTGCATAACTTTTGAAGCTGACATGGTGTAGTATGTTGTTCGCGATTGTTCTGCTTGTCAAAGACTGATAGGAGACTTGGAAGGATGGTGCAATGTTATGTAATCCAATTTGGAAATCTTATTTATGTGTCCTTATAGGTAATTGAATGGTGAATGAGCCGAACCGAGGTATAATATATATCATGTGTGCCTCTGATTGCAGGTAGACAGAAGATACAAACAATATTGTCAACAGATGCAACTTCTGGTGTCATCTTTTGATGTGGTAGCCGGGGTTGGGGCAGCCAAGCCTTACACAGCACTGGCCCTTAAAACAATTTCTCGTCATTTCCGATGCCTGCGTGATGCCATAACTAACCAAATTCAAGCAACCCGAAAAAGCCTTGGAGAGCAAGACAATGGTCTTGGAGTAATTCCTCGTCTTCGCTATGTGGATCAACAACTCAGGCAACAGAGAGCCCTTCAGCAATTTGGTATGATGCGCCATGCATGGAGGCCTCAGAGGGGACTTCCTGAAAGTGCTGTTACTATTCTTCGTGCTTGGCTTTTTGAGCACTTCCTTCATCCGTATGTTCACTGCCTCTTTAGACTTCTAAGAGTTCTGCTGATGAAAGGTGAATTCAAGCTCATGTTTTAAATCTATGTTTAACAGATACCCAAAGGATTCGGAGAAGATTATGCTGGCTAGACAGACAGGATTGACTAGAAGTCAGGTAATTTCAATGAGAGAAGCTAATAGAATTAGTGTTTTGAAAATATCTTTTTAGAAGGGTTGTACTGCAGAGAAATTGGATTGGAGAATCCATTCTCGCTTCTCTCTTCCACATTCCATGATTCCATCACCCTCTCCCCCATCCCCAAACTACCTAAAGATGCCTATTCACTGTCAGATGTGTGCATCATTAGTCTGAACTCTGAAGAAAGTTATGTACGAAGTATAATTTTGGCCAAAATTGAAATCTTCACTTGTCCATACCCATGGTGGAGGCTTGGAGCGTCGAGTATGCACATGGGTACTTAAGGTGATCTGAAGATTCCATGTAAAATACTTTGTAGTTGTCTTATGCCCGCTGAAAGCAGAAACTTTACTTTTTATTTTTTAAAAGATCCTTGATTCAAATGTGATAAAAGTACTTGTTTATCTTTCTATCTTTACCTTTTTTTAACAGGGTTTATTAGTTGATTTTTCAAAGTGAAGTAGGTTTCATATTAATGTAGGAGTCTAAATACAAACTGTGATGAAAAATCTTATTACTGCTCAACTTAAACTGACATTGTGTTGCTGTTGATCTTGCAATGGAGCAGGTTGCAAATTGGTTTATTAATGCACGTGTACGTCTCTGGAAGCCAATGGTTGAGGAAATGTACAAAGAAGAATTCGGAGAAGCAGAATTATTGAATTCAAGATCTTCGCCAGAAAACACGCCCAAATTAGCAAGGGAGAAGTCTTGGGGATCTGAAGACAGAAGAGAAGAAATGCAGGAAAGCTCAACATCAATAGTCCACGATGCTCATGATTCGAAGATCAATGTCAACCAAGGTATTGGTGCTAATAATGACAATCACGGGTTTTACAGTAATAATGGGACTCTTTCCTCTCCTGACCCTAATGGTGGAGGGCATGGGCATCCACATCTCATGGCCAATCCTGCTGCTTACCAAATGTCCGAGTTAGGCAGCTTTAGTGTAGACAACCAAGTATCCCTAGCCTTAGGCTTGCGACATCGTGAAGGCGATGTCACATTCCGGGGTAACACAAATACAGATGCTACTATGGGAGTCTCCACCTCGGACTATAATCCATACCTTGAGCAAGTAAACCAGCAACACAGGTTTGGTAACCCATCACACATCCTAAATGATTTTGTAGCCTAAATAAAAAACAAAAAGTACAAAAAAAAAAAAAAAAAAAAAAAAAAAAAAAACCTTTTTAATGCATACTTCTCTACAATCTCTATATGAATAAACTGGGGTTAGACCATATACTAAACCTTAGCAATAGCATTACCTGCATTTTTTTCTTCCTCTCCTGCTGTTCTTACAACGCCGTCTGCGCAATTGTGAAATTCAAGCAGGCCTGCAGAGTGGGAAAAACAGCAAGGAGTTGTGTAAATTTCATTTGAATATATTGTTGTAGATTTTTCCCAGATGTAATATGTAATATAGATACTGGGTCGGAGAAAATAGCATATATTTGTACAAGATAGGGATTATTCATGTAATTTTTGTGTGACATTTTGGTCCAAACAAACAGAACATTAAAAGTATAAAAAAAAATATAAAAAATTTAGAGTATATAAATATAGTTACTCTGAATTTTTTTATTCTTGTACAATTAATTGATTAAATTCATTGATTAAGAAAATAAATTTTGAAATTTTAGATACTGCAGTATCTGTAACATAAGATATAGCAGTAATGCGGTAAAAGCAGTATCTGCTTAGCCGCTTAGGGATTCAATTGCACCAGAATTTTACAGCAGCAGCCCAAATATTCAGAAAGTTTCATAGGGGTAAAAAATCTGTCAAACAAACATATTTTTTTAACCCAGATTTTACTTTTACCGATACAATGCAAAATTATCATCAGATTTGAGTAAGAATGTTTTTAATTCAGAAATTCTGATATTTATAAATTTTGGATTTTTTCTGATGAAACATTGTTTAAAAGTTTATGCAGAAAGAAAGAACCTACCCTTCTTTAATCAGAGAATTGTGGGACCCTTTATTACATAAAAAACCTTCTTTAATCAGAGAATTGTGGGACCCTTTATTACATAAAAAACCAAGAAAAAATAAAAAAGAATTTGTGTGTATTAAGAGAGTGACAACTGGGATAGAGGAATAGGAACAAAAATGGTAATGATTACAAAAACAAGTTCCTAGCAGAGTACCAGACTCCCCTACCATCTTACCTAGAAACAAATCTAGAATCTATGCCATCTTCCCTATTGTAACCAACCAATCTCTCTCTTTTTTCACCTTAAGATTCTTACTCTATTATTATTGTATTATGATGATTTTTTTTTTAAAAAAATCTGGTATGATTAGCAAAAGAAAATGTTCTTTTTGGGGTGTTTATCTTTGGATTTCAAGAGCCTAATGTACTTTAAGTTTTTGTAATTGCATATAATTAGCATGTAGTAAAGACTATTCCAATGCCGAAAGGCGAAGAAAAAAAAGATGTTGCTAAATATAGTCGTTTGGTTTATGTAAACCCATGTAAAGTTGAGATATTAAACCTTTTATAACACTAAATGATGGGTAGAGTTTTTTTTCTTTTTTTTGGTAAAGTTTACATTGTATTTCATACTATGTTACATAGTCTCATGTATTCTCCAAATGTGTTTTTTCACACTCGTAATTCAGTGAAACTATTTACCGGATTGTACAATCTTAAATCAAATTTGTAAGAAAAAGAGACATTTTTTACAAGTTGATAAATTTTTAACATAATGACACAATATACCTTTTACAAAAATACACATAATTACCAAAACCATCAATTATTACCATCTTCATGGATGCATCACTTGCATGTGTTATCAAGCTAAACCAAAATTAAAGTAGGATATTCTAAGAGGAGAGTACAGACTCACATAAACAGACAATCTAAAAGGCTAAAAATTCTGAGTGTGTTAAAAGATAGCCTACTTTTCTTCTCTCTTTCCCTGTTTCATAGAATAAAGATGGTACTACTACTAGAATTCAATGTAATTGAAATGAAAAACTCCAAAAAAAACTGAAAAAAAATACAATCTTTTTCATGCACTATTAATTTGGGCTAGAGAGAGAAACACAGAAAAAGAAAATAGAGAGAGAAAACAGAGTTTTTGCTTTTGAGTCTCCCAAAGAAATGAAATTGCAGGGGCTGTGAATATACAGCAGCAGAAGAAGCAGGATCCCTTGTTTTTATGTAGTCAGTAAAAAATAAAAAATATTAAAATTAAAATTAGGGACTTTTCTTTTATATGTCATTGTCAATTTTCTTTATTTTTCCACTTGGTCTAGTTTTTTTAGCTTTGCTTTTTTAGAGAACTTGTACAGGTCTATTTTCTTAGCTTTTTTTAATAATTTTTTTTACTTTTTATATAAAACTCAAAATAAAATTTTTATCCCTTGTATAAAAAGCTTCTTTCTTTGTATGGTTTGTAATAGAGTTTATACAAGGAGAGAGAAAAAGATTGTCTTTTGCTGTTATGAACCCTAAAGGTATGTTCTTGCATAATAATTATACTAGTAATACTAATGAAGTTTGATTAAATTCTAAGATTTTGTTTTACCATTTTAAAGGTGTCATACAAAAATTTCAGGGTTTTAGTTAAAACTGACAGGAAATTCCTTGTTTTGTGAACAACATTCATTGAAACTTATTAATGCCCTTTGTTTCAGAAATTCATTTTCTGATTATCTGTTTTCTGATTGCTATTGAAGTATTTATTGTAAAAATTGATTAGTTGTTGCACTTTTTATATGAGTATTTATTAAAGGGGGTTTAGATTTTGGTACTTGTACTTTTCTTTTTTGCATACTGTATTATTGTTGATGTTTCTTACTTGACTGTTCACTATTCCAACTGTCTGCTGCTTACTATTGCAGGTTTTAGTACAGTTTCTTCTCTGATGATATCTTTAGGGTCTTACCCATTAGATCATCTTTTGTTACAACTTATCATCATTCATCCAACTATATTTATGTCATTTTCATTCTAATTTTTTTTTTTTTTGGATGAAAATCAAACCAAGTTTTTTTTAAACCCTTATTTATTACTCCCAAAATTCCCAAAAATCCCAAAAAAAGGAGAATTTTTTTTTGAGACCCCACAAAACAAAAGTGGGCAAAGTTAGATTCCCACTTATGATCAGCTTCTCTTCTTCCTTCCAATTTTTGCTCTTCAGATTTGGTTCTTTCCTTGTAGAATCTTTGATGAAGCTGACATTTTGATGTTTTTAGCAATTCTCTTGTATGAAAGCTTTTTATCACTTTAAAAAAATTTGCTAAAAAAACTCACTTTTTTTTGGGGGGGAGTTAAAAATATGGTTTCACAAGAAACACAAACAAACCCTACTTCATCAAGTAGTTTACACCACTTTTCAATCTCAAACCCAATTTCTTCTCAACCCCATTTTGATAAATATGAGAACCCACATTTTGATGATTCTTATAATTCTGATATTATAAGGGTCAATTCAAGTAACCCATTTTCAGATCATCAATCTCTTGGTAATACCCATTTTCCAACGATTCAGTCTCTTGAAGAAAGAATGTCAAGATCAATTAACCTTGTTCATGATCATTCATCAGTAGTAGTACACCCTGATGATCATTCTGATATGGGTCATACTAGGCATCTCATGGATCTTCTTGGAGCTCCAAATGAGGCCACCCATGGCTCGAATAGGCTTTCGCTTTCTCTCGGCTCTCAAGCGCTTCATAGTCCTCAATACAGGCAAAGAACCTTTAGTTCAGAGCTTATGCAACAGGCTTACAGTAATTTAGTTGGTTCTTCTGGTGATCAAGAAAATTGTAACCCAGGGGACTATTCTTTCATAGGAAGTACATCTTTTACTGCATTTTCTGTCAGTAATTCTATGTATCTGAAGCCTGCACAGTCGATGCTCGAAGAGGTAATCGATCTCGGGAGCAAAGACATCGAATTAAAAGATGTAAAGAGGTTGTTTATGTGTAGCAGAGGACTCTGCTCTGAATTGAGAGCTGAATTGATGAGTAATGGGTTTTTATCAGCTGATAAACATGACCTCCAAATCAATTTTTCCAAGCTTATTACTTTACTAGAACAGGTTGGTAGTTCTGACAGTTTCTGAAGTATAATACAGTATATTATAATGCTGTAATTTACTGAATTTTGCCAAATATATGTGTTACAGACATAATATTATGCTGAATTTTGATTGATTTTGTTCTAGGTTGAAGGGAGATATGATGAGTATTTTCAAAGAATGGAAGATTTGATTTCATCATTTGAGATGATTGCAGGAGACGGCGCTGCGAAATGTTACACTGCATTAGCCCTTCAGGCAATGTCTAGGCATTTTTGTAGCCTAAGAGATGCCATAGTAACCCAAATTAAGGTTATTAGGAAAAAAATTTCACCTGATTTACCGAAGATTGGAAGTGGGTTATCCCATTTGAGTTTGCTTGATCGAGATGGTCGGAATAGCAATAGCAGGATGTCTCTCCAACAGATTGGGCTAATACAAGGAACTCATCGACAAGCATGGCGGCCTATTCGAGGACTCCCTGAGACCTCGGTGGCCATTTTACGTGCTTGGCTCTTCGAGCATTTCCTTCATCCGTAAGTCCATTAGAAGACTAATTTGTCTTTCATGTCATACATAACACGTGTGATGATTTTACTTAGGAAACTGTCTATTTTTGCAGATACCCAAATGACTCAGAGAAGCTAACATTGGCATCACAAACTGGCCTTACAAAGAATCAAGTAAAAGAAATAGATTTTTGATTTGTCAAATTCGAGTTTGTAACTAATACTTTTATGAGTTATGCTGATGGGTTTATGTTGTGTTATGTAGGTTTCGAATTGGTTTATTAATGCAAGGGTTAGATTGTGGAAGCCAATGATTGAAGAAATGTACAAAGAAGAATTTGGGGACTCTTCAGTTGATTCTTCAGGGGAAGGTCAGACTGATAAAACAGAAGATCAATGAGTTGATGATGATTTGTTATTATTGAACTTGAAATTGGTTAGTTTTATGCCAAGTAAAACCTTTTTTTGTAAATGTATGAAGTAGTACATTATTAGATGCATTAGTTTAGCTGAAATTAGAGCATATTGAACTTCTTCATGTGATTCGATCTATTTTTGTACTAATTTTCTAGTTTTGTAGTTAATCTTAGAGTGAATGAAGCTTGTAGTCCTGAATTCATTTCATGCAAACTTTCTTATGAATTTATGTAAAGCTAAATGCTCTTCTTTGAAAGACTATCTAGATATCGGCCATGAAGTAGGGGCGGAGCTATGTTGAATAGTACGGGTTTAAGCGAACCCGACCACTTGATAGTAAAATGGTTTGGATAATAGTTAACCGTTAACTACACGCCCAAGTCAAAAGTGAGGGTTTGATGATTGATGAACCTTTAAAAGAAGGTAGGGTCAGTATGGGTCCTTGAAATAGGAAGGCTATGGGCATGTGAGCTGTGGAAATGGGTCTACATATTGCACTTGACCTACGGCTGCAGGCACCAACAAGATTTGGGGTGATATAGAGAACTAATATATGGACATCCTAAGAATTGATGCTTCAAATAATTGTGAAAGTTGGTCCTCGTCAATTATTACATAAAAAAGACTCTTCAACGTGTATGATTATAGCACCAAAGTTTGTTACTCCTTCCCTCCAATTAAAATTCTCAAATTCTCTTATTTCTTCGTAAGAACTATGCATCCTCACATGTATGGCCTTCTAATTCATATAGGGACGTTAATGGGGCGGGTCAATTTGTAAGAACTATGCATCCTCACATGCATGGGCTTTTAGTTCGTATAGGGATGTCAATGGAGCGGGTCAAGTAGGAGACCTGCCCCATCCCCGCCTCAATGGGGTGAGCCTGGGTCTTGGTTCGGCAGGTGCTGGGGCGGGGATGGGGAAGAAAACCATACCCGTCATGGGTGATGGGGCAGGGGTAGATTTTAGGTTGTACCCGCCCCATCCCTGCCCCACTCACTACATACCCGCCCCGCCCCAACCGCCCCACTTCGTACCCGCCAAATCCCCACCCCATACCCACATCTATTTAATTTTAAAAACAAAATTATGTACTTTTATACTATTTTATAAACAAATTATATAAGGAGGAAAGAGAATGGAAAAGGTGGGGGGGGGGGGGTGGGGAATGGGGGTGGAATAAAAATGGGTAAACCCAAAAATAAAAAAGGAGAAAGGGAATGACAAGTAGTAAACAAACGCTTACAAAGGGAATCATTCCCATTCCCTTTCCCCATTACAGCGAACCAAACGCCCCCCTTATATTATAAACAAAAAAATTGTGTAATATTGACATTTAAAAAAAAAATGTATTCTATATTAATTATGTAGGATTGTGTACTATATATGTGAAGAGGGGATTAGGCGGGTCTTGGGTGGGGATTAAGTGAAGGTGGATATCCAAGTGGGGGTGGGGCGGGGATGGTTTTGAAATTGTACCCGTCGGGACAGGGATGGAGATGAATTTTGGACCCACCGTGGGAATGAGGATGAAAATTTTAGGTGGGGATGGAGATGAGAAAACCAACATCCGCTTCGACCCGCCTCATTGACATCCCTAAGTTCATATTAAGTGTTGGAGACTCCACAACTTGGGCTCTTCATTATTAGATTCGAAGATCAATGAGATGATGTTTTATTTTATTGGGCTTGAAATGGCCACGCATGGTTTTATGCAGAAGCAAAAGCTACAGTAAATGTCTAGTGTATTCTATCATGTTATTCATAAATGGCTATACAAGTTTGCATTAGGTTAGCTAAAATTTGACCATGAATCCATCATCTTATTCATGAAGGAGATGTTGGCATGAGATAGTTTTGTGAAGATTGTATTACAAAAATTGTATTAGAAACAAATTATTAAACAGGCATATGGAGACAAACGAAAAACTACTACGATTATTTATATTGGGTAGATTTGTCAACTTTAAAAGTTAAAAACTGAGTTAATTAAATTAATAAAGGTTGCAAATATTCAATTTACAAATAAGTTAAACTATTTCGAGCTAAAAGCTATAACCCTAGACAAATTTTGCTTATCTTGATATGTTGATGAGTATCACTTTGCATTTTATGCTATTTCATCCCAATTTCTTTATCAAATACTCAAATTCATTAATATTTATCTCATACTATATATCCCCTCAATTCTACTTGTTTTGCCTATAATTAATTTTACTCGAATACTCATAGATTTTAGCTAAGTGAAATTTATGACAAAGAAAAGTGGTGGGTTCTAAAATAATATTTGTGAGAGTAAAAGTTTTAATTCTTTGTGAATATTTATGGTATGAGACAATCTTTTAAGAACGACCTATATAAAACAGAGAAAACTTTTAGTGACATTAAAATACGTAAATATTATGTATAATACATCCGTATTTGTTTTTGTTCCTTGAAAATTGCGGTAAAGTAGGGAATTAGCAAATAAGATAAATATTTCAAGACCAAACTCACCCAAGTATGAATATCTAAAACACACACAAAAAAAAAAAAGTTGCATTATCCATTGCTAAATATAATCAGTAAGAGATGAGTTCAAGCAGCTTCTGTTGGATAATTAGCACCAAAACTTCATCATCTTCATCTTCTTTTCAAAATTCTCAATCCCATTATTTGTGCCCACTTCAATTTCAATCCTTCCCATTTCAAAAATCTACTTCAAATTCAAGAAATTGCTTAGAATCCCATCAACATAAGAACCCCAAGAATTTAATTTGTGTTAATTCCCTCCAAATTAATCATGGTGTGGATCAGATTCTCTCTCCTGTTACCCCAGATGAACAAGAAACTGGAGAAATTGAGGAGGTAATTAGCGATTTTGAGGATAATTTTGAAGACCCAGTTCCATTTTCTGTTAATGGAGAGAGTAAAAGGGAACAAGAAGAGGCAGAGGAGCAAGAACGTCGTTTTAAGCTCAGAAATGGAAAGGAGGTCATTCCCTTTTCTTGTTCTGTTGTTTATTTTAATTTTGATTTGATGTTAAAAGTTAAATTGAATGTTTTAGTTATGAACTTGATGAGCTATCCTTTTCTCCTTTGTTCTTTACATGTTTATGTTTTGAATTGCTATTTGAAATTTGGGGTGTAGAGAGCTAAATTTTGGAATGTAACATGTGAATAAGGTGTTGGGGGGAAACCCGGCCCGAGGCCTCTAATCGAATCCCGTTTACATTATTGTCCTTTGTATATAATGGCCATAAACTATTGGACCATAGCTAATGTAAGGATTCTGCTTGTTAACACTGCATCAAGGGTACCATCTGTATGTAGAATTTCTATGGTTTTTGTATGGCAGAGAACTTGAGAAGGTTGTTTACTGTTTTGTTTGAAAAGAGAGAGAGGGGGGGTGGGGGGTTAATTATTAGTTTAATGATCAAATTTAGGGTGCATAAAAAACCACCTCTAATAGAACTTCTTAACAGATTATGTTTATGAAATTTTCTCCACCGTTTACCCAATTGTAGATAGTAGATATAGTCTCATAAGAGGAATCGCGGTGATGATGTATTATGATATTATATGCATATATGGCTTTCTGTTGAGGTTGAGCATAGGATATTAGGATCACTGTTCTAATGCTTTAGGTGATTCTAGTTGCTATGTTAATCATGCAGAAAAGTATACGCAACTTGTTGCTAAGCATTTTTAAGTTTCTGTTATGTTGTTATTGATTGACTGCTGTCTTATTTATGCGCCCTCTGCCATTGCTTGAGGCTCTTGGGAGAATAAGTTAAGTGGCCTAATATTGTAACGTCAGGTTCTTGCTGAAAAAGCTTATCTTGTGGGTGTGGAGCAAAAAGGTATTAAAGTGGATTCTTTTGGAATAGAAGAATCTCTGAAAGAGTTGGCTCAACTAGCTGACACAGCAGGTCTTCAGGTTGTTGGCTCTACTTATCAAAAGTGAGTATGTCGTGGGTTTTTCTATTGCATAATGTGGTTACGCTATAAGTTGCAATGTGCATATACTTAAGACAGTACAATTAGCTAATTGGAGATTTATATTATCTGTGCATGCCCTAAATCTTCCAGTTAACATGTTATGTATCTCTGTCACCCTGTGTGTCATTGTGAAAGTTGGGGGAGGGTTGGAGAATTGAATGGGGGAGTGTTGCTTAAAACGATAATGTAACTCTTTTAATTAGAGCTTAAGGGGTTTCAGTGAGTTAATTTTGTATCTGTTGTAATTCTTTGCAAGTGAAAAGCACTTGTAACTTAAGGCATGTTATGTGTCATCTGGGAACATGGCCTCCAAAGCAGCTACAGTTCAATTAAAAGCTTTAGTACCTTCGTTTTAACTTGTTAAGATAGAGATTGTTAAACAAAACTCAGATTACATTACCAAGTGTGTATTGACTTCTGAGTTTTTGTCATATAGTTCACATATGTCTTCTATCAAATACATTTCTCCTTTATTTTTGCTTTGTGAGAACTGCTGGTCTGCATGGTAAATAACTTCAACACCTGCTGTATGAATTAGGCTTGCTGCTCCAAATCCAAGAACATATATTGGCTCAGGCAAGGTTTCTGAGATCAAGAGTGCAATTCATGCATTTGATGTTGAAACAGTGATATTTGATGATGAGCTCTCACCAGGGTAAGAATGAAACACTCTTTTATTCAGAAACTGACAATTGGTGTACATGCATTGTCTAGCTATCAACTTTTACTCATATGAATTTATTGCTGATTGTGAAACACATCATATGCACGTGAACTTGTTAAAGGTCTTTGAGGGTACTTTTTAATGGTAGTAACTAGTAGAAGTATTCTGTCAGATTACTCTTACCTCATCATTGTCATCAATCTTCTAAATTTGTTTCTGTAGATAAGGTTGGATTAGTAAGCTGCAATTAATGGCACATTTCTAACTTACCTTTACCTCTTATATTAAGAAAAACATTTGTAATTGTACAAATGTCATGGTGAAAGTTGCTGGTATTGTAAATATGGGGATGTTTGGTCCTGAATGTGAACCTATTGCAGGCAATTGCGTAATTTAGAGAAAGTTTTTGGAAAAGATGTCAGAGTTTGTGATAGGACTGCACTTATTCTGGATATTTTCAACCAGAGAGCAGCGACGCATGAAGCTGCTTTACAGGTAAATATTTTGATAAGTTGAAGCATTAAATGAAATCATATAGGCTTTTGTGCTAATGAAGAAACTT